TAGCAAAGAAAAGTTTCTGGGAGGTCAAGCTATACATGTTTACATGCATGTTCACTAAGAGTAGGGATGCTCTCAAGTAAATAAGTAAAATAAAGTAAGAGTGGGTACAGAGTTGTTGCACCGCTTTGTGCAATCTTGGGGCAGACAACCAACCCCCTTTCTTTTGCTATGGTTTTTCCAGGTCTTCACTGATGAGAATGAAATCTGCAGACTGCATGAAAGCAAGGTCTTGGAGTAGCTCTCTGAAGAGAACATCATAGATATTCAGAAAGCAGGAGGTACCCTTCTCTTCTTGGAGGGTCTCGCTCACTCTTGGATCCCAATCTCTGGGGGAGAGGTTGCCTTAACATTGTACCCTGCATATAGCGTCTCACCTTAGCACCACTATAACATTTTTGGCAAGTGTCTTGTATGCCTGGCCAGGGACTTACCTCTTTGTTCCTGCCTGCATGTCATTTGGTCACTCTACTGTCATTTTGTCTCCTTGTGCTACCCTTTGGGCTCTTCCTTCATTGGAAGCCCATTCCCTTTTTCTGTGTGGGTAGCAGCTTTCCTTAAGGCATTTGTAGTAACATATTTTCATTCATTCCCTCACCCATAAGCTCCCTTTTTTGCAAGGATTTTCATGGTGTCTCTTGCTGGGCATTTTATTAAGAACCAAGAGTTTTATACTACTCAGTCTTTTTCCACAACACGCAGTACCAGGCCAGGCTTTGCATCTGGTTCCACACTATCTTCTCTATGCACACTGGACTGGAAGGGAAGGTGCCATGGTCTTCAGCAGGGCAGAGTACATGTTCCTTGGGGTGCTTGACCACGAGCGCATACGAGATCCAAAGGGAGTCATGCCAAGGTAAATATCCTACCTCGGGCCTGCAGCCAATGTATTGAAGTAAGTCCTTATTTCTGGACAGAGCCAGGAGAAGCAGTGGGGCTTCTGCCTTGGAGCACAGCTCCCCAAAGTGCAGTCAAGAGCCTTAGCTGAGAGAGGGATTTCCTTTGATACTGAGGCACATTGAATGCTCTTTGCTTAATTTCCTGGGATGGCCACAGGACTTTGAGACCTATGGAAATAAAATGGGGAATCCTATCACCTGACAGGACTTCTCAAGTCTCTTCTTTGGTGGAGCTGTGTTTATTGTGACCCTACAGGAGCTGGACAGGGTCTTGGGACCACAAGGAGCTCCCAAGCAACACATCAGGCCTCAGCACGCAGTTGCAGCTAAGACCAAGCTGATGGTGAACCGTAGAGTGATAGAAGCCATGTTTCCTACATATTTCTGTCATGTTGTCCCTCTCTCCAGCTTTTGTTATCTCAGCTTTTTCCACTGCTCCAAGACCAGCCCCATGACACGTATAGCCAGCCAAGGGGCTATCAGTGCTGGCTGGCCAGCTGGTGCAGACACTGACTAGCAGCAGGCCACCACAGCAAAGACCCACTCTGCTTTTGCTCAGTCAGAATGCTCACTGGGTCTTTCTCCACCAGCTGTTGATTCTTACAAAACTTAACATGGAACTGTAAGCTTCCCACTACCCCATCAATTGTGGCTGATACCCACCAGTACATCTAGAAGGGACGAGGGAGGACTGCCAGACAGACAACCAGCTCAGCCATGGATATGTCATTTCTGGAGGATGGCATGTCATGCTGCCGACTGCCACCATTCCTGAGGCTTTGCACTGGCCTGGCTGGCTCTCCCACAGTGCCCCAGTGCTGCCCAAAATAGCCTCTTCTGTTTCAGTCAGGCTTTCCTCCCTGACCACATGCCCTCAATGACAAAAATTACTCCAAAATTAGTTTCTCCCTTAGCATTTTGATACGATGCAACATCTGATTAAAATTACTTCAGGGTTACCCTCATAGCCTTGTCACAGGCAGGTGGACTTCAAGAAAAACCCTCCTCTGCTTGGTGCAAGCATCACAATCTGGCTCAAAGGCAGCAGCAGCAGTTTCTCAGCACCGCAAATTTCAAATTTCTGGCAAATGCCAACATCGTAACAGCATCAGCCTCACCACCACAGCAGGCACCGTCTGCCTCTGCACAAGGAGGTGTCACCTTCACTGCCACCCTGAGCACTTCCAGAAGCCAGGGATGGAGACCTCCCCCCAACCATGCTGACCAGTGCTCCTGGCCGGGCAGGGGCTCCAGTCGAGTATAGAGGTGCAGGGAGCTGGAGTCCCTTCACTCCTTGGCAGAAACAGGGGATGGCAGCTGGTGTGGTAGGGGATAGAAGGTAGCAGGTAGGGGCTGCTGATTTGGGAGAGGGCACAAGGTGTGGGATGGAGTGGCCCATGGCAGCAGCCCCAGCGTGGCTCCCTGGGCAGCGCTGTTACATCAGCCACTCCACCAGTTTACAACACTCGCCCTTGAGCCTTGGCCCTGCAGGCTGCTGCGGTGTGGACACATTACACAACACCCCCTGGCCCCACTCCTCTTCCCCACCGAGGCTGCTGGGAGGCTGAGCTGTCACAGCAGCCTGCCAATTTCCGACAAGCAGAAGATGCTCCATCCACCCCTGCCTCTGGCAGGGCACCAGAGGAGGTGGCAAGACAAGGAAGAGTCCCCACGGACCTACTCAAGCTTGCTGGTAGAGGTGGCTCTTGAGGCACTGTGGTGGGGGAAGGAGGGCTGCCCCACAGGAGGGACGAGGAAGCTCTGCCTCCCCTCCTGCAGCAAGCCAATGAGGCTACACCCCAGGCGTGCGGGAGCCACCATGTCCTGGGGAGAGCGGGACCCTCCTTCCAGAGCTGTCTGTCATGGATGGGACTCTTTCTGCAACACTCCCCCAGGGAGTAACGCCCCTGGAGCCTCTTCCCTGTGCTAGCAAGCAAGTTCTTCATCTCTCAGCAAGATGAGTGGGGGGGAAAGCTGTGAGGAAATCGCAAAGACCATTGTGCAAATGGCTAGGACAAAGCTAAATATAGCCACTATCTCAGCTCCCCAAAGATAACAGCCTGTGTCCACAGCCCGCCACAATGCCCTGCCCTGACTTCCACCTACCTTTGCTTCGGGAGCAAACACTAAGCAGCAGTTGTGAAACACCCTGCCCCGCTCATGGCAAACAGGACTTGAGTTACAGGGCAGAAATGCACCCTAAGCCACCTTGCATGCATTCCTTCCCCGGCGCTGGGGGGCCAAATCCCACACAGCTCAGAGGCTAACCAACATATCCCTCAGCACCTCCGTGGAGCTGAGCAGCCAACAATGCAGAGGAGAAACCTGCAGCAGAGCAGAACAAGTCTAAGCCAGGTCGGGCCTTCCCAGTTTTTGGGCTCGTCCTATTAAACTCATCAGTTCCGCTCGAATCTGTCTGGTGTCCCAAGATCAGCGACACTGAGCCAGGCTGTGGTGGTCCTACCTGGAGAAGGGGAAGCAGCAGTGGAGAGGGCCCATGGGCCATGACCACCTTATCAGGTCTCTTGTCTATTGCTCCTGGGCAAATCTGAACATGTGTCCCCTCCTCCCTGCTGTAAACCTTGTCACTAAGGAGCACTGCAGAAATCCCACCATACCCTCAGCACATCAAATATTACTGTAAGTCTGCAAAACCCCTGCAGTGGGTACATCCTTCAGCTCTCTCCCCAACTTTAAATGTTAGCACTGCCTCTATCTAAAAAGGGTTTATAAAACAAAAAACAATGTGGGTTTTTTCCCTTAACAAAACCCTTTTGCCTTGCAGAGTAATAAGTTTACGAAATGGCAGCTTCCAGCAGGAAGTCTCTGGCTTTAACAATAGCTGTATGTGTTTCCACAAGTTAATTGAAAACAAATGTTGACACTTCAATCCTTCTTTTATGCTCTGTAAGGGAGGCAAAAGAGCAGCATTGCTCGCAGCTGTGCAGTTAGAGGCCAGATGTGGCACAGAAAGAGGCAAATACTGTTATCCCCACTGCTACCATGGGGAGAAGGTAGATGAACCATACCCACATTGCAGCAGGCTTTACAGCCTCCACTGCTTGCCCACGGAGGCAGCATTTGTTCCCCAAGCCATTTCCCTTCCAGGGCGGCCAGCTCCCTGCACACTGTTCACACCATTGAGGACATTGGGTTCTGGGCTGAAGCGGACTCAGGAGCAGCCCCAGGGAGCAGAGATGGGAACTGGTGGCAGGAGAGCAGGTGGGAAGACCCCTTGGCCCAGCCAGCCCTGCAAAGACCCCAGGGTCTACGACAGAACATCAACTCACCTGGCAGATATTTTCAGGGTGTTGTAAACATCTACCCAGGTCTGCACGTGTGCCCAGACAGGGACTCCCGTGGGGCAGGTCTCTGTGCCAGCTGGGCCCCACAGGTGTTTTTTCCTACTGGCAAGTCACCTCTATGAGAAAGTAATTTTTTCCACTCCACACCGTAATTATTGTCTGGAAAGAACATTGTGGAGTAACCCCTGGAGATTCCTGCCCAGCGTCAGCACAGACCCCCAGCCCAGAGCTGCAGTCACAAGATGCGGATGTGTAAGTAAACCTCCTCCCCACCCATCCCTGAGCACCCTGGGCCAGCTCAGCTGAGAAGATCAGTGCCCCAGAAAGACTTTCCTGCCTCAAGAACATGTTTCTGTAGGTTTAGCCCTTATCTGCTTGTTTGCGACATCCGCAATGCCCCGTTCTGGACAGGTAGGGACGGGCACCATGGCACAGGAGCCACACGTCACCGCATGATAGAGAGGGACTGGGAGCGTCCAAGGCCTGACACATGGCTCGTACCTTCTGCCAGGGCAAGCCAGCCCTGCTCAGGGGAAGGCAGAGGGGCTCACTTAGCAAGGTCCCTCAGGTTTGAACGGTTTCTCCAAGCCTGGAAGCAGCCAGGCCCACCCTCCCGGGCTGGTGGAGCCCAACCAGGCCAGCGCAGGCCGGCAGCGTGCCACAGGCAGCGCGGGGCTCCTCGGCCTACCGCTCCGCTCACCCTGCTGCCACCCGCCCCACAGAGCACCCCGAGGGC